GGGGTAATGCCTTTAAAGTTTCTCCAATAGACACTCACCAGTCACCTTGTCACGGGTGCTCTTTGGAAGATGCTTTGCAATATGCCCAATAACACACAGAATATGTCCTAAGGTGTTTGAATTGGGACTCTGTTGACTAAGAAAAGGGCAGAAGAAATATCAATATAGAACCAAAGTAAACACTGCTGCCAACAAAAGACTTTCTTCTGGATTATTAATACCAGGGTAGCATGGTTTGGGGTTCAAGTTGTAAGAGCATTAAGGCACTTAAAGTACTTGGACAAACAATAAACTGAAAGCTTAAAAGTGATTGTTACTTTTCATGTTTGTTTTTAAGCCTGAATTTAAAGAAAAGATCTGTGTATACAAATAGCTATAAAATAGCCCATTTCCTTCAGGCATGAGCTTTATTTCCAAGAATCTTTAGTACGTCCACCAGCAGCTAAGTTATGGGCACGCAAACCTGCTGATCTCCTCCCAGGACTCTATCACTCTGACATAGTCGAGCTTGGGTGACGAGCCGGCAATCTTGGACAGCAGCATCCAGGCTGGTGCGGAATGCTCCGCGTCCGTGTGGGACAGTATATTGTTTATAAAAGCAGATGAGAACTTATCTTTCTTGGACCAGATATAAAAAGCCTTATTTAAATAGCGGCTGGAAAAAAAGATGGGAGAGCAGAATTGTAACTATAAATATACAAAACTGTTGAGATCTACCCCTTTAATAAAAGGATATCAACTGCTGCTATTCTGGGATTCCTCTGGCACATTTAATACCAAACTAGGTATCTTTTTAATTTTTATTATATTTCTGTCCTCACAAAGTATTTATGTTTAAAGCAAAAAATACACGTTCATAATTCATTTCAGAACCATCTCATCCTCAACCCTTCTAAAATCTATATACAAACATAAATTATGTTACCAATAACAAGTGCTTCAAGCTTATAAAAGTTTTAGTGACAAAAAACATAGACGCTGTCCCTTTTTCAAAGTTTAACTTGTAAAAACTAGGAAGTTATCTTTCAAAATTAGTATTGAGGAAAGTTAATATTAATATACCATATCCACTAGTGCTTTCTATTACATGTGTATTAAGATACCAAGTTAAAACTGGAGAATACTCAGAGAAAAGCAAAGGAAGCGATCAAAGGTTTCACAAAAAAAAATAGTCACCAGAAAAATGCTAAGAGATTTGAATTAGGTCAAGAAAAACGGACCAAAATTGAGTCTTCAAATATACTAAGTCATTTAGAAAGCTAATTTTCCAAGACCAATACAGAAGTTTATTAATAAAAACCCTCTATAAGAAAAATAAGTCATAATTAACATACCTCAATTCCTGGTTTTCTGTACTAAGGAGAGAAAGTAGTGCCCAAGCTAGCACCTGGCTGTCATCTCCACTGTGAAACTTATTGAAATGCTTAATGTTCTGCAGCAGGAGCTGGTCAAGGCATTCCAGGGCCTTTTCCTGCACAGTGCTCTCAGAGTCCATCACAACGGGGGTGATCCCCATCAGCCAGGCTTTCTGTATCTGGACACATCTAGGGTGGGCCTTTAGGAGTTAAAACCATGAAGTCATAAAGAAGTCTAAAGCTATTAGAAGTCTAACTACAAATCAGTGAAGTTGTGATCAATATTTTGAGACATGTTAAAAGTAGCTGCACACACAATTTCAAGTAGACCATAAAATTAAAACAAAACAAAAGCCCCCACAATATTCGAATAATATGTGAAAACAAAGTTCAATCTGCAGTTATTGCAAATCAGCGCATACTGAAATTTTAAACTTCCAAAGTCATTATTTTGTTATTAGTAATAAATCAGCACTTTTTAGTAATTCAAGATTAAGAGCAAACAATAAATATTTGTCCCAAGAAATAATTAGAATAAATGTTACCAGAGAAAGTAAAAATACGCATTGCTTAATGCCGCTATTATGAAACAAAGAAAAAACATTCTCCTCAAATTCTTCAAGAGCTAATTAGTTGGCAGAAGTAAATTATATTTAGGATCACTGGTTCTGCTCTTTTGGCAATATCATCTATATAGGTCTTAATGAACAAAAATTAATCTAGGCCTCTGGCCTAACCACATTCATTTTAAAATTCATATTTATATGTGAGATTTGAGTGCAAGTCAAGAAAGGCTAACCATTAGCATTCTCTAGTTCATAATTATACTTAATATGAAATGCAGTCTCTCTTATGTAATTAAAAGATACTTCTTCCGTTCCCTCTAATACTGTATAATAGACTTAGTAGAGTTTCTACCAGTCAACTTAATATTTAGCAACAAGCAATTATTATGCTGAATTGTTGCCTAATGTAAAACACCATGCATTAAGTGCACATATACATGCATATGCCTTGCCCCTCACCATAAGAAGTTCAGTGAGAGACTGTAATGCCTGCTTCCGGACAGACACCGCAGGATCCCGACACTGCTCCTGAAGAATCAACAGCTCCTCCTTCATACCTGAGATGCTGCAGTGTTTCAAAACACTCACCAGCACCTACAAAGTGCACATACACCATGAAGTGATGACTTATGTAACATAAATGCAAAAAGACAAATACAGACAAAGATACTTCCTACAAGTTTGTGGTTCTTAACATTTTTAGGGTCAAAGATCCATCCCTCTTCCCAGTAGCATCCCACCTTTTGGAATCTGATGAAAGCTAAGGTCTTTCTCCACAGAAAATTTGACATGCATTTTATATAAACAAGTATTTACAATTTCAGTAGTTTCACAAACCCTATGAAAATCTGTCCATGGCCCCAAGCTAAGAATCCCTACTCTAAAAATGAAATTAAGGATATAAATTCAAGATTCTTAAAAAGCCAGCGACCCAGTAGGAAAGCTTAAAATCAGATAATCTCCACTCATCTATATAATTTAGACATAACAGGATCAAGTTGAACTAATGTTAAGTGAAAAGCAAATTAAGTAACAAATATGGCAGGAGGATTTTTTAAATATTCTCTTGCATTTCCAAGTTTTTAGTGCTTAAAGAGCACATTAATGAACATCTGGAAGAAACACACCTGGAGCGCAGACTTCCTAACGTTGGTCTTCTCATCCCTGATTCTCTTTCTCAGCATGACCATGACACATCTTTCTGCTGAGGAAATGCCAGTCATCAGAGTTGGAAAAAGACTATACAGATCTGACATCTCACACATAATGCCAGGAAAATCTAAAAAACTGACTAATTAGCTTGTTTTAAATCCGAGTATAAAATGAGGTAGAAATAGAAAAAAATTCAAATAGTTAACTAGGCACAATAATGAAAAAGGCAGAATTAATGTAAAAAAAGGGCAAAAATTTTGAATATTAAAAATTCAGTATTAAATCCTGGCTCCTATGTCCAAAATTTTAAATAAATTATTTAGATATTCTATTTTGTTTAGCCACAAGTAGAAATATCTAAACCATTGGGCTTTTTAAAGACTAAATAAAGTAATATAAATATATGACAGCAGCTTTAAAATTTTTCAATCACAGGTCCCTTTACACTATTAAAAATGACTAAAGACTCCTAAGAGCTTTTTTTAAAGTGAATTACATGTTTTAAACTGAGAATTATACAAAGAATAACTCATTTGAAAAAAGACATGCCACTATGAAGAGTATATTTTTAAATTAAAAAAACTATATTTTAAAAAATAGTGAAAAGAATGGCATTGTTTGTATTTTTGCAAATTCTTTAATGTCTGGCTTAATAAGAAGGCAGCAGGATTCTTGTCTCTCCTGCCTGCAATCTGTCACATTTTCATGTCAACTTATATGTGTGGGAAAATCAGTGCAGAAGGTGAACGACGTCTTGATATTATTATGAAAACAGTATTAACTTCAAGGATGTTTTGATGGAAACTAAAAGACTAAAACATATTTTGAGAACTGCTGATCCCCAAGAAAGCAAATTAAAAAATGAACTAGAGAATGGAAAACAAGAGAGGAAATAATGAAATTAAAAAGTAAGTTCCTAGCCCAGCTGGCGTGGCTCAACCGTTGAGCACTGACCTATGATCCAGGTGATCTCGGGCTGGATCCCCAGCAGGGGCGTGCAGGAGGCAGCCAATCAATGACTCTTTCATCATTGATGTTTCTACCTCTCTCCCTCTCCCTTCCTCTCTCTGAAATCAACAAAGATATATTTAAAAAAAAAAGTAATCTCCTTGAGAAAGACAGCAAAATTAACAAACTTTTAGATAGACTTACTAAGAAGATAAGAGAAGATTCAAACAGCTAAACTCAGGAATGAACAAGGGAACATTATTACCGACCTTACAAAAATAAAGTTTTAAAAATGCAAAAGAATACTATGCACAATTTTATGTTAACAAATTAAGTAACCTCGGTGAAATGGACAAATTTCTACAATGATACCAAGCACAGAAACTGACTCAAGAAGAAACAGAAAGTCTGAATACACCTATAAGTACAGATATTGAAGTAATCAAAACTTCCCATACATGCACAAAACCCAGGCATTACTGAAGGATTCTACCAAATGTGAAAACAAAAATTAACACCAATTTGTAAATACACATATCTGCCTCTCCCACTGCTCCTAAGAAATGAAACTTTATTTTGTTAAAGTCTGTATCTACGCTTAGCACAGATAGAAGGGACCATATAAAAGTTTATAAACTAACAAATCTAATTATGTAATTAATCCTTTACACACATATTCTCTCTTTTTTTCTCTCATCTATTTACCCATCTTTTAAAAGCACTTCTCTAAACATTACTTCTGTAGACTGAGAAGAGCCTTCTATGAAAGACAGGGAAGGTGTGAGGATCCAAAAGTGACAGGGAGTTGTGCCGACTTCCATGTCTTAGGCCATGCAGCTATTTAGTAACAGAACTGTACAAGAATTCAGACTGCTTCTGGTTTCTAATAATGTTTACTGTTTTCACTGCTATTTTATGATGCCATATTACAGATGAAAAAGGAACTCAAGACCTTACAGCCAGACAGAAACAGAATCTGAGTAGACTCCAGGTCTGCCCACTACGTAGTACAGGTTTTTCTCCCTGAATCACATTGACGGTGATCAGGCACCATTTATGTTCAGAATCTTGTGTTGAAGTCCATGGAGGACCTGTCACTCCATACAACATGTATGACCCATTAAAAAATGGCTCATTCTGTTGGTGAAGGGAAATTATCACCTAGTCTGAATTGTCTTTTTCAGTGGAAGCCTGGACTCACAGTTCCCTAGCATGTATTAAAAGTAAACTCTGGGATGGCTCAGTAAGAGTCAAGATGACATGGTAGACAAAGTAATAAGGAACAAAAAAACAGGAACAAGATTGGGTACCGCAGTATTGTTCACCTATTCCACCTTTTTTGTGATGTCTTTTCTCCAAACACAAATGTAATCTCTAATTCACTTTCCCTAGCAACTGGCCCTTTTTTGGTCAGTAATCCCAAGAGTTCATAATAATTGACTTTAAGAAAATAAAATATTTGCTAATACTCTCTTAAATGTTAAAAAAATACTGGCGTTTCGTACATGATAAGTGGAATATAGCTTATTCTTATCTTCAAATGAAATATAGTATAGTGCAAGGACATCAATTAAAGATATAATAAAACAGAAATTACTTCACTTTTTTTTCTTTTTTTTAATATCTTTATTGATTTCAGAAAGAGGAAAGGAGAGAGAGAGAGAGAGAGAGAGAGAGAGAGAGAAACATCAATGATGAGAGAGTCACTGATCGAGCCCACAACCCTGGCATGTGCCCTGACAGGGAATCAAATCCCGATAGCCTGAATCCCAGGTCGATGCTTAACTGCTGAGCCCCGCCCAGCGGGGCGAAATTACTCCACTTTTAAGAAAAAGAGATGTTATGATTCTTAAGGGTGAATTAATCAGAAAAAAATCCAAGGTTTTTAGACGCTTATAGTTATTACACATTTGATTGTGATAAAATCTGACATACCCCTAGATCCAATTGTTTCACCACTGCTGTCTGTATTGATCACCCCTGAGTCTCCAGAACGGTTAAGTGTCTGCTTCTGACAGGAAAAAGCTTAAAAATAATAAATTAGAAAAAGGGCTTAGTCATTAGGTAAATAATTATTACACCTTTTAATAATATAAGCATGGCATATTACACATTTAAGTTACCACATCATTACTGAAATGAATTTAATTTCTTTGATGAAGGAAATAAGTGCAATATTAAAATAGAGAAGTACAGAGATAGAAAAAACATTTAAAATATCCAGCTAGTCCTTTAAGTAAAAAGATAATTGTTCAATATTTGAAAATATATTGATTCATTACCTGATGAATTTTTCAGTAAAGTACCAGGGTGGCTCTCTATTCCTAAAATTGTAGGACCTAAAAATAAGCAGACAGATAAGAGGAGAAAAAGTCATAGTATCATAAACCCTAAGTAATATTCACAGAGGAATAAAAATAAAAATAATTAGGCCTAAAGAGAAGGTCAATTCTAAACTGCTGACAATTAATAATGCTCTCCTTGTGTATGCATTTGAAATGGGTATTAGGCCCCACACAGCCAATACTCAACAATGCAAAGCAACAGTGAAGGCAGCCAACAGTCTCACCTCTAAAAAGGCCTTTCAAATGTATCAGGCTTGTCTAAAAAGTTATTCAACAAGACAACATACTGAAATAAGTTTATAAGAGTGAGAGTATATCATACCATATTGATTATTTTTGCCACAACAAAGAATGATTCCCCTGTAGTCCAATTTCTTGACAAGCATAAGACCAATTCCATTTCACGATGGTCACCACACTTACTGTTAATCAGAAATTCCAGAATGCTCTCCGATGCGGTGCTAACAGACAACTCCAGGCAATGTGCAAAACTGGACAATGCCTTGCTGCGGACAGTCGGTGCCTTGTCTAAACAGCGATCAAACATAATGTCCTGCACCAAGAACTTATGCTTTAAGAACTTCTGATCCTCCAAGGAGAGTGTGTTATCTGCCTCTCTTTCTGGCAGTTCCAACAAAGCCAAGGCAACATCAAGAGTAAAAACCCTGTGTGGGATCTGGTAGAGCAAAATCATAAGAATCTCCATCACACAGGAATAAAAGCCAAAGGATCCCTTATGTATTCAGATCTGGCTGTCATTAGAAGGTTGCAGAACCAGGACCAAGATTTATGTAGATATATCTCTTACCTTGGAACTTCGTGAATATCTATAAAGCCAGGCAATAAATGTAGCATATTCCCCACAAGGAAGTTTGCTGAGCAGCTGTACCAGGGACTGAGCTGCATAGGTCCGATACTCTGATTTATCTACCACCTGAAACACAAACATTGAGAAGCTGTCCACCCGGGCAACTGAAACATGTTGAAATCCAAGTGGAAAGTTAGCAAATGTAACTATAACTAGTTCAGTGATCTTTAAGTGTTATAGAAATGACTAACAAGTTTTAGGTTTCAGACCCCTTTGAAAACTAGCCTATGAGAAATCTATAGGCCCTCTCCTCAGAAATACAAATTTAACACACGATTGCAGGGAGTTTATGAACCCCGAGAGTCCACAGAGTTTAAGTTAAGAATCATTTGTCTGAACAGTTATAAAAACTTAGGAGATAATCATAGAAATTTGAACATTAACTGGATATTTGCTGGCATTAAAGTATTACTGTGTATTTTGTGATTATGTTCTTAAAGAGTTCTTATCCTTTAGAGATACATACATTTATATATACAAGAATATGATAGAATTTGTTCAAAAGAAAATCCAGTGTGCATGTGTTCAGGAGTAATATCTTTTTGGGGTATAAGTGACACAAATTTGTTGATGGGTGCTTATCATCCTATGCTCTTTATTTCTTTATATATTTGAAAACTTCCAAAATGAAAAGGTTTTTTATTGCCAAAAGAACACTGTCTAGGGGAACAGCTAGTGAATATATTAAATAGAACTATGTTTAGTAACAACACAGACTCATTCCTAAGAACAAAAACACACAGAAAAACACAAATATTTAACCTTATACATATTATATATTTTAAAAATTATTCTTTTCTGGTACCTTGGCACAGATGTGCTGGAGTAAGATACGAAGAACTGGGAATACACTTTCCTTTAGTTCATCCACAAGTGAGCTATTAAAAAAAAAAAATCCTCTGTTTACAATACACCTATAATTACAATAAAATAGTCATTTTCCTTGACTCTTCTAAAACCCACTAACCCTATGTTTTAGAAATCCTGCACAGTAAGAAGAACCTGTCCCCACATTTGAAGCATTGCTTCAGGGAATAAAGTGAAAGTGACAAAGCAGAAACCAATTCCAATTCTCAGGCATGGTTTTAGAGAACTGCTGCCAAGTAGACAGTGACAGTCAGGGAAGAGCAAATGTGCAGCCTTCATAGGACTCTTTGCACTACTTAGTAAATTTCATATTAAGATTCTAAAATAGATCATTTGGGAGTAAATAAACTAAGATACAGTACCACCTCATGGTAGCTCAGTGAAATGCAACTACTTCAATGCACTTGTAATAGTTATCTCTCCAAACTTTAACCCAAGAAGAAATTACTATAATGCCCAGATTTGATCCATTTTTAGTGTTAAGTTTATTTGTACCATTATATGGATACTACTGCATCATGAACTCTGATGGAAAAACCAACGTGAGGGTTTCCACTTAAAACACTTTAGTTATTTAATGACAGTCTATACCTGGATTCCACCATCCTCAAATCTTCAACTACATTATATATATACCATGTATATACATAATGACCACTTTTTTCTAGCACCAAATACTCAATATAGGGGGGGATGGGGAAGCCAATGACAGCAAATAGGTCTTTCCCAATAATGCTAAAATATGGAAATTTTTAGGTGAAGCTAAGCGGCTCATGAGGGAAAAATTAGTCTGTTGATTATTGCTAAAGAAATAAAAATCAACTAACTTCTTTCCTCAAGAAAGTATTTTCTGCAGGGGGAAGGGCATAGAAAAGTGAAAAGAACAAGGGAAAAGTCAGGGAAGAGAACAGGGTAGAAACTTGGAGAAGAGAGAATTAGAAAAAGAGCAGGAGGCAGCAGGCTTGCTGGAGTGGTCAACAATGAGGCAGACGATGGCAGAACAGAGGAGAAGCCACTGTCATCACTCAGAGGCTGACCTTAGAGCTGCCTTGGTGCTGGCCCGTGAACTACAAAAATTCCTTATCCCTTCAACAAGGCCCCCACGTGGAGCTTACCAACAGTGACCCAGAAGAGCTACAAAGTGCTTTATTTTGACCCCCAAACAGGTCAGGAATTTGACCACAAACAGGTCAGAAATTTGTTCATTTCCATAGGTGTCAGAAATCTTGGTTCGTACAGGGCCCAGAAGAAAAAGGGAAAGTGACAAAGAGAGTAACACTCCAAGCTTCACCTGATAAACTGGACTGCCTGGTTTCTGCTGTTGATGACTGATGAAGTAATAGCAACGGGGGCATGATGGGATCCTTCGCCCACTTCTAACATTAATATTACATTTAGCATTTGATGGAAAATATAACTGATAACCTAGAAGAGAGAAGAAAATTCAATTTAAGGCCTAAGAGAGAATCCTCGAAGACCACAGTAAACAATTTGCAGAGTCTGAAGATTAGTCAGGTTGACATAGTTTTGGGCTGAACACTAGGAATGTGTTTCTTGGGTAATTACCAGGTATTCAATAAATGTACAATGTAAACAGTGTGAAAACACTAATTGTAGATGATGATAGGAATATCATGTAGTTTCTCTCCAAACCCTATCTTACTGCAGCCCAGAAAGTAAGGCAAAAAGAATTAGTTGTCACTTACAGATGGCAAAGAATAAGATAATCCCTTATAGCAAAAGGGGAAAGGAGTAATATTTCACACTTGTATTTTACCTGAAGCTTACAAAGCATCTTCCAATATGTCATCTCATAAAATTTACTCGGACCATTCATTCATTCATCCAGTAAATAAAACATTTACTAAAAACCAAACGTGTGCCAGGTACTGCATTAAGGACATTTATATAGATTACTAGATTTTATTACATTTAATCTTGAATCTCACAACTCCACGAGGTAAGCAAGGCATTTCCACTTTACACATAATAATATTGTTTCCAGTTTATACATAATAAAACAGACTCCAAAGGCAAGCTGTCCAAAGTCAAGTAATCAAAGGCCTGGCTAACACCAAAGTTGTCTAACATCACGTTAGTAATTCTATTACTTAAAAAACACAACATCTTTAGAGACACAGTGGACCTAAAAGGATACATTTTTCCATCCACTCTATTTTTTTAAATGTTGAAAAGGGCATGGAAATTAAAAGCATTACCGTGAAATCTATCAGATCCATATTTCAATCACACAGAAATAACAACAATATAATAAATAATAAAATATGGAATGTTTTTTAAACAACAGGCATTGTGTTCAGCATTTGACAGGCATTCTTTCATTGAATCCTCCTGACAAATCTGTGAGGAAAGTAAGCCTTTTATTCCATTTTTGTCCAGATGAGAAAACAGGCTTTCACAGGGTTGAGTAACTTACACAAGGACACACAGAGAGCAAATGGTAGAACCAGAATCTGAACACAAATGCATATCACCCCAGCTACCCCAAGCCTCTTTAAACATCATGTTACTGCCCTTGGAAATTAAGTGTATCACAGCCACCAAAAGCCATGTGACCTTGGTCTATCACAGTTTACAAAATCTTATTTGATTAGTGACATCTAAGTTTGGCAACACCACGATGCTCAAATAACCTAACTCAACTGTTTAGAGTAGTAAAACTCTTAGGGCAACTCGGGGGGCAAAATCCATATGTGAATGCTAACAGAAATGATAACCAGTAATACTTCTGTAGAATTACCAACTGAAATAATACAAATACTAATGAAATTACTGAAGCACACATAAATTGCCAAGGGAAACAAGAAATTCTGTCTATTCTTCTCTTTAGAACAATTTGGTGACTATTTCTAGAAAAGTAACGTTCTGTTTGGCAGCTCATCTGTCCTTCCTACCTAATTCACACTGGAGCCATTTTTACGTATGACACCAAATGACAATTTGGTTGGCCAACAAGTATTTGGATATAAGTTTTGTTATGAAGAGTAGGCAACAAGTAGAAATGGTTATACTTCTTATTATACAAATGATATATAATAAGGTCATGGAAATAACCTGGTAGGTTAAAATGCCATTGCATCAAATGCTTCGGATGTTTTTCTACTACATGATTTGCATGCTTCAATTTAACCAATAACTAACTTAGATCCCTGTCTCCTTTACCTTGTCTCCTCCATGAATTGGGGAGCATAGCAAATACAATCCATGATAGGCCAGTTCTGGTATGCACTTTGCTTGGTTAAGGTTTCTAAAGAAAAGAGAGCAAAGATTAGTTAATGGATATGATTTTACTTAGAATATTGCCTTATTTAGTAAGCCATATATAAATGAATAAATTCTACCCATGTGCCACTTAAGAGTAAAAATGGCATTTATACTTCAGCTGGAGCAAAATTTATTATACTAGATTTAAATTTTAAAATTGTGAGATTTAATGGCTCACCTGGCATGTGTAACATGAAATTCATGAAGAACTGGCTCGAAACTTGTTAATGCCACAAAGACCTAGAAAACAGATAACAAGAAACAGCCTGGTTTTTCTTACCATTAAGTATTAGCTCTCATCTGTGCCTTTTGAGATTAACCAAGTTTCTTGGAATTTTCACTTACCTCTATACAATTCTGTACACACTGTGGCTTTTCTTTCAGGGAAAACTTGGACAAAAGCCTTAAAAAGTTACTTAAAAGATGAAAGATGGCTTTTCGTATTTGACAAAGGTCCCAGGGAGAAAAGCAAATGTCCTCCTCATCTTCTTGTTCTTCTATAATTTCATCCATCTAGATTATGAAGAAACATATCAGTGACTATAAAATAATGCCTAACACTCTGTCCCATCGTTTTTAATGTACTCAAATCAAATCCAGTGAAACACCAAGGGGGTTGCTGAGTTGACCAGGTCCCTTGACTGCTGTAGGTCACAATGGTAAATCATTGGATTAGATGACTGCTATATTTTCTAGCTCTATACTTTTGTGTTAATGAGAATTCTTATGTGTCTTAGAAGTTTTCACATCAGTGAACATTTACCATCCTACCTAGTCATATAAGAATTTGGAATTAATGCTGTTCTCTTACACTCTTATGGATCTGATCCCTCAGGATACTTCAACCACCCTCTCTAATGATAATGTGGCAAATATACCTGTTAGCAAGTTGTCAAGCACACCTGGGTACAAGGCTGGGGAGAGATTATGGGGAGGTTGGAAAGTTGGCAGGGAAGAAACATACTCTCGGTAGTATATGAAGCCCAAGAGGTGACTTAGTCCTATGGGAGAGGTGATGGTACTTTAGGACCTTTTGATTATAATCATTAGGCCTGACACCATATTTTAATATAAAGTTAATTCTTAAATCAAAATTATGTGTTGGTAAAGATATGTTTTATAATTCTTCTTACTTCTTACCTCAATATCCTCTTTCCTGGGTGGCTTTCCTCTCTTTCTGTGCCCTCTTGGATTAGCCTGAGAGCTCTTAGGCTGTTCTTTCTTTCTTTTCCGACTCAAGTTAGATTCCTGAGGCCAGCTCTTCTTTAGAATTTGTATACATTTGTCAAACATCACCGGGTGGAATATTTGATTGGCTACACTGCCTATTCATAAAGAATAAAAAGTAAGCAAATTAGATTTAATTGTCTTGAAATATGTCAGTAACAACAGATAAAAATTTCAAAAGCAAAAATGGGGTTTTCATTAACTTTGAATAACAATGACCCTTTCACAAAAAAGTACTATTCAACTTTAGCCATAGGTTAGCAATAGTGCTGATCAGAAATAAATAACAAGATTTCTGCATTTGGCCATGAGGGAGTAAAACTGGTTTTATACTTGTCCTCTTACTGTGAACTATAAAATTGGACCAAAAAATTTTAAAATAATCATTTTAAGACATGGAGCAAGAGGCAGCATAGGAATAAAATCCCTGAGATAAGGGAAACAAATGATGTAAAACCTAAAATTGCCCCAGTTTTTGTATTTTGAGGTAATTTCTAGACAGCAGCAGAAAAATGGTGAACCCAAGCACATTACTATGGTCTTACTAAGTTGAGACTACAGAAATCAAGTCAGAAAGGCAGAAGTATCTGGAATTTATGGAGCGGAATAATGAAGAAGAGGAAAAGAGCTCCAGAAATCTGCATAGGGCTGATTATAAGCCATGCATGGGGTAAAACTCCAAAAAGGTGAGCAAAGAACAATTTCTAAGGAGTCAGAAGATGAATAATTTTCAGAACTCACACAGAGTTGAGACATATTTGAGCCTGGCCAGCAGAGTAGAGAGGCCTTGTTAACCACCTGGAGCACTCAGTCCAGACCTCAGAAAGAAATACACCTGAAAATATGGCTAAATTAGCTCTAGAGTAAAAACCATTTTAAATCTGCACTAAAACAAGTTGCAAATGGATCAAGTTAATCCACCAATAACTGACATTAAAACATACTTAAACACTATTTAAATGAAAACAAAATCAAGACACTCAATGGCTTAACATTCAAATATCCAGCATCAAATTAAAAAGTACTGGGCATGCTACGAAGCAGGAAAATGTGCCCCATCATGAGAATCAGTCACCAGAAACAGTCTAAGAAACAACAGAGATAACAGAACTGGCAGACAAGAACCTTAGGGCACATATTATAAATAAGCTCAAGAATTAAAAGTAAAACAGTACCAAACAAAAAGGGAAATGCATTTTTTTATTTTATTTTTTTAAGAATCAAATGGAACTTCTTGATCTGAAAACGAAAAATTCACTGGATGGGCCTAACAGTGGATTAGAAACTGCAGGAAAAAAAGGTCAATGAAGTTGAAAAAAGCACAGAAACAAAAAAAATTAATAGAATCAGTGACTTGTGGGGAAATACCAAGGAGTCTAACATGAGTAAGTCAAATCCCAGAAAAAAGGGAGGGAAAATATTTGAAGAAATAATAACTGAAAATTTTCCGAATTTGTTATAACTATAAATCCACAGACCCCAAAAGCTCAGTGAGCCGAACCATGATAAACACAAAGGAAATCACACCAAAGCATAATCTAAACAAATTGTTGAAACAAAGCAGTGGAGAAAATCTTCAAAGTATTCAGAACAAATAAAAGGACACAAAGCAGAAGAACAATAAGAATCATGCAGAATTCTCAGTAGAAATGGATATAAACCACAAGACAATAAAATAACACTTTTAAAAGAATCTGTCGCCTGGCCGGGCGTGGCTCAGTGGTTAAGCATCGACCTAGGATCCAGGCGATCGGGGTTCGATTACCGATCAGGGCACATGCCCAGGTTGAGGGCTCAATCAATGACTCTATCATCATTGATGTTTCTATCTCTCTCTCTCCCCCTCTCCTTTCCTCTCTCTGAAACCAATAAAGGTATATAATAAATAAATAAATAAATAAATAAATAAATAAATAAATAAATAAATAAATAAATAAAAGAATGTCAACTTAGAATTCTGTATTTAGCAAAAACATTCTTGAAGGTGTTAATAAAGACATCTTTATACAATCAAAATCCAAGACAACTGATGGCCAGCAGAACTGTACCGTAAAAATGTCAAAGAAAGTTCTTTGGGCTGAAGGAAAATTATGAGAGATGAAATCTTTCAAATATAAAAAATATTTTTTGTTTTTCAAGTTCTTTAAAAGATAATAGAGACAAATGTTGACAATGAACTGTAAGGTTTATAACATGTAGGAATATAACGGATAGCTACCATAGTACAAAGAAGAGGAAGGAGAAAGTATACTATTTTAAGGTTCTTACATTATCTACAAACTGTAGAATAGTACCTGAAGATACATTGTTAAAAGTGCTTATTGTACACTCAAAGCAAGCACTTAAAATACACACACACACACACACACACACACACACACACAAGCATGTGCAAAGAAGTGCAGTTAATAAGCCAAAAGAAGAGATAACATGGGATACTAAAAAATGCTCAATCCAGAAATAGGCACAAAGAGGGAAAAATGGAACAAAAAAAGATGGCACAAGCAGAAAATAAAGAGCAAGATGACAAAAACCCAACCATATTGATAATTACATTCAGTGTAATTATCTGAACTGTCTAAATATTCTAATAAAAAGACACAGTGGATGATTGTCACAGTGGACAAAAAGCATGACTCAGAGATAGGCAGTCTAAAACATACTCTTTACATATAAACACAGATAAATAAAAAATAAAAGCATGGGAAAGGATGTCCAACTGATACTGTTGTAATTAGCTATTAGTTATTAATAACAGGAAGAAGCAAAAGGCCAAACATTCACCAGGAAGCTAGTGAACCACTGGTACATTCCCTGCAAATCATTGGGGGAAAAGGCCCAACAAAGGGGAGATGGACGTATGCGCAGTGAGTTGGAGTGACATAGGGAACGTGCTCGCTGCCAGTCAAACCTGGGAACAGAGAACACTGACTACAGGCAGTGAAGCCAATGCAAGCCCGCAAAAATTTGGGGATACTTAATCCCCCAGACAAAGGAATTCAATCTCTTGGCTCCTAGTTCTCTTGATCCTCTAGCTTTGTTCCTGCCATGTTCCCTCCATAGTTATGTGGCCCTGAAGACTGCACACATAGTAGACTGATGGACTATAAGTGGGAACACAAACTAAGCCAGTCTGTTGCTGGATTGGACTGTGCCCCAACATGGAATGAAAACACTGGGCCATTAATCCTAGCTCTATTAAAGACACAGTTGGACTTCTTCCTTGGTGGGACAGAGGGAAATGGGACCTTCTCCCTTGCAAGTCTCAGAAAATTCCTTTTCTTGTGACATCACAAGAAGTCCACTTTCACCAGCAACTGGTAGGGACAAGGAGAGCTCCCCACTGATAATACAACCAAGGACAAATTATATGATAACTGGAATGGTTATCTTAATATCAGACAAAGTAGACTTCAGGGCAAGGAATAAAACCAGACAGAGGGACGTGACATAATACCAAAAGGTCAATTCATCAGAAAGACATGCAATTATAAATGTTTGTATCTTGCAGGCTTCCAAAATACCTTAAGTTAAAACTGACAGAAAAAAAAGGAAAAATGGATAAACTGACAATTATACTTGGAGATTTCAATACTTCTCTCTAATAGAACAAATAAACAGAATATCAGGGAGGATATAAGATTTGAACAACCCCAGCAACCAACTTGACATAATTGACATTTACAGAATACTAGATCCACCAAAGGCAGAATATACCTTCTGTTCAAGTGCAAATGGAAGATTTACCAAGTCAGACCCTATGCTGAGCCATTAAAACAAAACAAAACAAAACAAACATGCAAGAAAATCTCAGTGATTATTTTAAAGTCTGTGCTCTGACTTCAACATAATTAAAATAGAAACCAATTACAATAAGATTTCAGGAAAGCTCTCAACTATTTCAAAATTAAATACATTACTAAATAACTTAGGTGTAAGAAGAAAACATAAGATTAGAAAATTGCTTTGGCCAGAATGATAATGAAAATAAATTATCAAAACTTGTGTGATGCAGATAAAGCAGAACATAGAGGAAAATGTATAACATTACTTATATTAGAAACAAAGAAAAGTATGTGAGAACAAAGATCTATGCATCTACCTTAAGAAGTTAGAACACGAACAAATTAAACCCAAAGTAAGAAGGAATGCAATAAAGATAAAAATAATTGACGTAAAAAATGGAAAGCCCTGGCTAGGTGGCTCAGTTGGTTGGAGCATCATCCCCATACACTAAGAAGTTTTGGGTTCGATTCCCAGTCAGGGCTCATACAGGAGGCAAAAGATAGATGTTTCTCTTTCACACTGATGCGTGTGCTTTTCTCTCTCTCCCTTCCTTCCTCTCTCAAATCAACAGACATATCCTTGGGTTAGGATTAAAAAATGGACAAATAGGGTATGATCAATATAAAAAGCGGGTTCTTTGAAATGATCGATAAAATTGAGAAACCTCTATCTAAACTGATGAAAAAGAAAAAAAGAAATAGAAATTACCAAAATCAGGCATGAAAGAGGACATATCACTACAGATTCCACAAACAAATTTCTTTCCAAAGAACCTCCAAGCCCAGATGGCTTCACTAGTGAAATCTACTGAGGAGGCTAAAAAAAGAAATTAATACTTTTCCTTCCACTTTCTTAATTTCTTCTAGATAGGCTAATAATCAAATTAACAGAAACAAATTAACAGGAACAAAATCAAAATTTAATATATATGCATAGGGAATTCACATATGCATGAAAATTCCAAAGGCAGTGAGGCAACATTGGGTGTATATGACATTTTGGACAAAGGAGAAAAGGGGGAAACAAGGTGTTAGATTTCAGAAGTGAGAATGGGCAATTTACAGGTAAGCTGAGGAAAAGCAGGAACACAAGGCAGGCAAATTCTTGCTAGGCAAATCAGAAACAATAGGGTATCTAGCTAACAGGTCCCTGCATGAAGCCCTCCTGTTTACCATGCTTTAATTCAAACTAGGCTAAGAGGAACATTTTAAGATTTCCTTCCTAAAGCAGGTTTTTCTATTTAAAAAATCTCTTGGGCATGAAAGGGGGAAGGGTCAAAGGTTCTTTCTGAGTCTTATTGCTTATTAATCAGCTTAAAATTGATATCCTAAAAAGTAGCTTCAGGATGGCAAAAGTTTGGTCTCCTTCACCAACAAAAATTTAAGGAAGAAAGACAATCGATTCTTCACAAACGTCCAAAATATAAAAGAGACAAAAACACTACACAAAACTCATTCTATGAAACTAGTATTGCCCTGAAACCCAAATCAGATAAAGACATCTCAAAAGTAAACAAAATTTCTTATGAGTAAAGGTGCAAAAATCTTCAATAAAATATTAGCAAACTGAACCTGGCAACATATCAAAAAGATTACACATTATAACCAAGGTCATGCAAAATTGGTGTAACATATAAAAATCAATCAATGCAATACATTATGAGAATAAAGTACGAAAACCACATGATCAGCTCATAGATGCAGAAAAGCAAATGACAAAATCTAATACCCTCTCATAATAAAACACTCAGGAAACTAGAAATAATAACCTGATAAAGGCCATCCTCAAAACACCCACAGTGAACATCATACTTCAGAACAAAAGCCTGAAAGCTTTCCTCCTGAGATCAGGGACAAGACAAGATGCCTACCTTCCTGCTCCTATTCAACATTGTACCAGAATTCCTAACCAGGGCAATTAGGCAAGAAGAAGAAATAAAAGGCAGTCACATTGGAAAAGAAGTAAAATTACGTCTCTTTATAAATGACATGATCTTATATATAGGAAATACTACTAGAACCAAATAATGAGTTCAGCAAAGTTGTAGGCTATAAGATCAATAATCAAATACTAATTGTTCAACTATAAAATAATCTGAAAATGAAATTAAGAAAACGATTTCATCTACAATGACATCAAAAAATGAAATACTTAGGATTAAATTTAACCAAGGAAGTGTGAACTGTACACTGAAAACTGCAAAATATCATTGAAACTAATTAAAGATCTAAATAAATCGAAAGACATCTGTGTTCATGGATTGGAAGACTTAACATTGTTAAAATGTCAATACTCCCCAAATTGATGTACAGATTTCATGCAATTCCTATTAAAATCCCAGCTTTCCCCCCCAGAAATTTATATGTGAATCCTAAAAGCCATATGGCAAAACAAGGGAGCCAGAATAACCAGAACTGTCTTGAAAAAGACGACCATACTGCGATGAAATATTAAGTAACACAGTATCCCAATCACAATCCAGAAACACTTAAAAGCAGATGGTAATTGAAGGAGAAGTACAAGTTCCAGGAAAGATGCAAGTGGCCTGACAATAACAGCCACCTCTTCACTTCTGGCATGAATCTCAACCTAAATCAGAAGGAATGGCCTCCAAGCAAGGGAAGAGCAGAGTACAACTGGGTTTCTAAAAACTGCCAATTTTCCAAGAGTGCCCAGTTACAACTGAGATACTTTTTAGCAGCTAAGTTCTTTAGGAACTGATTTCAAAAGTCATTATGGAAACATTAACACCACAAATTAATGCTGAAGTCTTTATGTATCCTTTTACCAACTCTCAAATCATAGAGAATAAATCCTTAACATTTATTACAAATGCATTTATGTAAACAATGACAAGCAGCAAAGCTGATCAATCTGTGATTTTTTTTTTTTAAATGACCTTTGGATTCCCCAGCTACATCCCCCTCTATGTTCAGCCCTCTTTTGGTTTGAGTTATGATAGGGAGAAAGAACTCATTCACACTCACAGGAGGAAGAGCTATCTAAGTGCTCTGACAACAAAGGAAGTGGAACAGTGCTCATAAATAGGTTCCTTTCCCTTGCTTTCCTCATCAAGCATTATTAGCTAGACTTCTCATGCTTTCTTGATTAAAATGGTTCAAACCTGTTTTTCCATACCACATAGGAGAGACATAACACAAACATGCTCCACAGCAGTTTTTCTCAGTCTGGACAGAAATCCAGGGAAATATCAGAATTTTATATTAGGTGGGGATGGTTGAGAGTGGAGCTTGGAAACATTCCTCCTCCAGCCTTGTCCTTATCAAATTATTTCTATTAGGTTATCAACACAACATAATATCAGAACACAAGCACATTTAAAGAAAAATGGGAAAGATATTTCTGGAAAACTTGCAAATATAATTCATAGACTTACTCTCATTTAAAGTCAGAGAAACTCTATGAGATGGGTTTCCACTGCTCCATTTTATAAGTTAGGAAACAAAGTCTAAGAACGCAAAACAGCCCTGGCCACTGTGGCTCAGTTGGTTGGAGCATCATACTTTACACCAAAAAGTGGCTGGTTCAATTCCCAGTCAGGGCACATGCCCAGATTGCAGGTTCAATCCCTGGTTAGGGTACCTATGGGAGACAACCAAATGATGTTTCTTTCACATTAATGCTTCTCTTTCTCTCTCTCTCCCTTCCTCTCTGTCTCAAATCAATAAAAACATATCCTCAGGTGATGATTAAAAAAAGAAATTAAAGAAAAAAAAAAAGGGGGGCTCAAAACAATGTAGAGAAAATTTAAATGACAAAAGAAATGTCCTATCATGTCAAGTTACATACCTGGTACTTCTAGTAGCAGAAAATAAAGACCAGCAGCATGAAGGCCATATTCTCGATATTGCGCACTGACATTTTTCTTATGGACTGTCTGAACAAAGTGATAGAATAAAGCCACCAGCGCTCGGTGAGAAATATTGTTCTCAATGAAGAAGGTCCAAATGATCTGGGGGGAGGAGTAAATCACAAAAGCCAGCAATTACAGAAATGTAGAAACCTCTTATTATTTTATTTTAATAACTACTTAGTGCATTTTAAAAGAGGGGAATAGACCTAATTATAAACATTTGCCATCTTCAAAAAAATTAAAACAAAAAATTTAAAATGCATTATTCAAAATTACAAAGATAAATATAGGAGATTTAAATAATTAAACTTAAAAAATTTTTGCTAAGTTTGAAGTATATATATTTCTAAACTTATAGCTAAAAACTACACTAAGACTTTTCAAACATCCTATATTAGTGATTATTCAGACAAGCTACCCCTTCATCTATGTTAAATGTACCCAAATTCATCAATCACTCTAATTCCTAGCTGAGGAAATCAGATAAATTTATTTAAATTTAAATGTTCTGTGGGCAATGGCAGCTAGAAAAGAAACATCTGAAAGTTCCTCCCTCATTTTATTTCAGAATTAGCCTATGTGAGAAAGGAAATAAACCTTAGAATATAAACCACAGAGGGGTTTCAAGATGACAGTGGATCTTCCCTGAAACAAACTGGAAATAAAATCAATTGAGGAACATTCATCCTGAATTACCAACTGAAGAAGAGACTTTTAACAAGGAAGAACAGAAACCAACTTGAAACTGGTAGGACTGGCAGGGTCAGGAGAGAGGCTGGCCTAGCTCCCCCAGGAGGCAAGCAGAGGTTGAGGAGGGATATCTCCACTGTGTGGTGGGGTGGGGATTTAGGGGTGGGGTTGGGGTTCTCCACACAAGGGACATTCATAGAGGATCCAGGTCAAGAGCTCACTGGATCCCACAGGACACTTACTACATAAGACCACCCCATGACCGAGAGGCACAGCAGTTCTAATACATAGAAACAACACAAAGACAGTAAAATGGAGAGACAACCATCAAATGAAAGAAAAGGAAGAAGCTCCAGAAAAAGAGTTAAATGAAATGGAGGCAAGCAATTTATCAGATATAGAGTACAAAGTAATTGTTATAAGGAAGCATGAGGAACTTAGTGAGAATTATAAGAAACTTAGTGGGATCTACAACAGCATGAAAAAGTAGTACAAACCATGAACAAGAACCAGTCAGAAATGAGGAATACCATATCTGACATTAATACACAGGAAGGTCCTAGCCAGTTTGGCTCAGTGGTTAGAGTGTTGGCCTGTGGACTGAAGGGTCCTGGGTTCAATTCCCACCAAGGGCATGTACCTCGCTTGCAGGCTCAATCCCTGGCCCCAGTCAGGGCACATGTGGCAGGCTACCAATCAATGTGTCTCTCTCACTTTGATGTTTCTCTTTCTCTTTTTCTCTCTCTCTCCGCCCCCTTCCACTCTGAAAAGCAATGGAAAAAATATCCTCTGGTGAGGACTTAAAAAAAAAAGGAATACACAGGAAGGAATTAAAAGTAGATTGAATGAGGCAGAGGACTGAATCAATGATTTGGAAGACAAAGTAGAAAAAAACACCCAAATAAAGCAGCAAAAAGAAAAAAGAATTAAAAAGCAAAAGGAACTTTGGGACAACATGAAAAGTATCAACATACGCATCATAGGGATACCAGAAGAAGAACAAAGTGAGGAAGAAATAGCGAACCTGTTTGAAGAAATAATCACAGAAAACTTCCCAAACCTGGTGAAGAAAAAAGTCACACAAGTTCAGGGAGCACAGAAAGTCCCAATAAAGATGAACCCAAAAAGTCCCACACCAAGACACATAATTAAAATGTAAACGTTAAAGGCAAAGACAGAATCTTAAAGGCAGCAGGAGAAAGACAGAAAGGTAGTTATAAGGGAGTTCCTATCAGACTGTCAGAATATTTCTCAACAGACACACTTCAGGCCAGAGGGGGTTGGCCTGAGTATTCAAAGTAATGAAAAGCAAGGACCTGAGCCCAAGATTACTCTATCCAGCAAGGCTTTCATTTACAATTGAAGTTGAAATAAAGAGCTTCCCAGACAAAAAAAAGGTTAAAGGAGTACATTACTACCAAACCAACACTGCAAGAAGTGTTAAAGGGACTGCTTTAAGAAGAAATAGAGGAACATAGGTATAAAGACAAAAATGGCAATAAGTAAGTACCTATCAATAATAACCTTAAATGTAAATGGACTAAATGCTCCAATCAAAAGACATAGGGTAGCTGAATGGATAAGAAAGCATAACCCATATATGTGCTGTCTACAAGAGACCCACCTCAGGTCAAAAGATTCACACAAACTGAAAGTGAAGGAATGGAAAAAATACTCCAAGCAAATGGAAAAGAACAAAAAGCTGGGGTAGAGGAACTCATATCTGACAAAACAGACTTCAAAACAAAGATCATAAAAGAGACAACAAAGATCACTACATAACACTAAAGGGATCGAGAAACAGAACTCTTGTAAACATATATGCACACAACAAAGGAGCAACTAAATACAGAAAAAAATTCTTGGTTGACCTTAAGGAAAAAATCAACAGCAATGCAGTCACAGTAGGGGACTTTAACACTCCACTGACATTACTGGATAGATCTTCCAGACAAAAAAATCAGCCTGGCTGGTGTTGCTCAGTGGTTGAGCATGGATCCATGAACCAGGAGGTCACTGGTTCAATTCCCAGTCAGGGTACATTCCCAGGTTGCTGGCTTGATCCCCAGTAGGGGGCATGCAGGAGGCAGCCAACCGATGTTTCTCTCTCATCAATGTTTCTAACTCTCTCTCTCTCCCCTTTTCTCTCTAAAATCAATAAAAACATATTTTTTTAAAAAAAAAAATCAACAAGGAAAACAATGACCTTAAACAACACACTAGATCAGTTAGACTTAATTGATATTTACAAAACATTTCACCCCAAAGCTGCAGAAAGTACATTCTTCTCAAGTGCACATGGAACATTCTCAAAGATAGACCACATGTTAGGGCACAAAATAAGTCTTAACAAATTCAATAGGATTGAAATCATATCAAGCTTCTGCTTGGACCACAATGGCATGAAACTAGAAATAACTACAATAAAAAAAACCTCAAAAACATTTAACCATATGGAGGCAAAGGACTGCCAATGAGATCAAGGAAGAAATCAAACAAAAATTATGTCCTAAAATCTATGGGACACAGTGAAAGCAGTTCCGAAAGGGAAGTTCATAGCATTACAGACATATCTAAAGAAACAAGAAAAAGCTCAAATAAACAATCTAACCCTACAACTAAAAGAATTAGAAAGAGAATAAGAAAAGCCCAGATTAAGTAGAAGGAAAGAAAGAATACAGATCAGAGCAGAAATGAATGATATAGAGACCAAAAAAAAACCCAATACAAATGATCAGTGAAACCAAGAGCAGGTTCTTTGAAAAGATAAACAAAATTGATGAACCATTAGCCAAACTCATCAAGAAACAAAGAGAGAGGACCCACATAAATAAAATCAGAAATGAAAGACACGAAGTAACAACTGACATCACAGAAATAGAAAGGATTGTAAGAAAATACTATGAACAACTATATGCCAACAAATTGGACAATCTGGGTAAAATGTACAAATTCCTGAAAACATACAATCTTCCAAAACTTAACCAGTAAGAATCAGAAATCCTGAATAGGCCGATAACAACTGATGAAATTGAGGCAGTAATTAAAAAAACTCCCATCAAACAAAAGGCTAGGATCAGATGGCTTTACAGGTGAGTTTTACCAAACATTTGAAGAAGAACTAATACCTATCCTCCTCAAACTATTCCAAAACATTCAAGAGGAAGGAAGACTTCCAAGCCCTTTTACAAGGCTATCCTAATTAAAAAACTAGAGAAAGACACTACAGAGAGAAAATTACAGGCAATGCCCCTGATGAACAGAGATGCTAAAATCCTCAATGAAATATTACAAACCGATCCAGCAATACATTAAAAAGATCATACACCATGACCAAGTGGGATTTATTCCGGGATGCAAAGTTGGTACAATATTTGCAATTCGATAAACATGACATATCACAGAAACAGAATGAAGGAAAAATTCACATGATTATACCAATAAATGCAGGAAAAGCACTTGACAAAAATCCAGCGCCCATTTATGGTAAAAACTCTCAGCAAACTGGTACCTAGTCCTTTAGTTTTCTGAAAATCAGTCAATGAGCTAAATACTAATAAACACACTAGGTAAAACTCAGTATTTAAAGGAACTCTTTGTTCCAATTGTGTTTAACTAACTACTTCTCAGTTTAATAATATCAGATTTTCTTAAAGTTAAGGCATACTGAAATTGTTATTACATTTTCCTTGGCTTTCGTTTTCTTTTGGTTTAACCCGGTTTTCTTCCTTGTTTTGGTCTATATTCTTTTCCTCTAATTTGCTGTTATAAAAAGTCATGAAGCCATGGCTGGGTAGCTCCATGGTTAGAGCATGGTCCCACTATGCCAAGGTTGACGGTTTCCATTCCCAATCAGGGCACATACAAGAATCCACCAATGACTGCATAAATAAGCAGAACAACAAACCAATGTGTGTGACTCTCTTTCCAAAAATCAATCAATAAACATAAAAAAATTTAAAAAAATTTTAAGTCATGACTTGAAAAAAACCAGATTAATACCTTGAACCTTCTGGAGGAAAGCTATTAGGATAGTCTAATAAATGATCCACATTCTTTATGCTACTCATACTTTTCATGAACTGTTCACTAAAAAGGCTAAGCTTTAGATGATAATAATCACTTGAATATTCTACTTTTAACACCTAACAGTGGCTAGCTTGATTTTTCCTTTCCTTTTTTTTTTTTTTTTTTTTTACCTCTGTAGATCCACGTTCTTCAGTAGCAAAGCAGAAAAGACTTTCATGGAGTTTTGTGAATGCATCCAATCCAGACTCTATAATTTCTGCTTCTATGTTGGGATCCAAAGGTTCAGTCTCTGTGAAGTCCAGTTCCCAAACTGTGTCTACCCATTCTGGTAGGAAAATGCAATTAAGTAAACAAGTGTACTACAGCAAGTAAAAAAACAGTAATTTTTAGACTCTAAGCAGATTCAAGAAGAGAAAAGTTTATTAGTCACAACTCACATTAAATTATATAATACAGGTGAAGCATAATCAAAGGAAAGCAGAAATAGTCACGAAAATCAATTTTTTAAAATTATAACTGACATCTGGTTATTAGGTTGGTTATCTTCTAAATATATCAAGGAGAAAAACACTTTTTACATAAAACAGTTTGGGGGGAATGAAAACTTCAGAACATTAATGACCAAGCTTTCCCACACATTCGATCTGGAGGAGAAAGAGGTTGATCAAAGATTGGCCCAGATGTCACTTGGTGAAAATCTTATAACTAAGTTAATAAGCCCAATAAAATACTTCATTGGGTCCTTGGAGAATAATTAGTATGTTAAAAAAAAAGACACACTTTTCCCAAGAAGTTTAAACCAGAGGAGGCAAGCCAGATCCACAATCAGAGATATACTCAGTGATTTCAAAATACACTGATGGAAAGAATGTATGTTACGAGAATATACATTCTCTTAATGATATTAATGCTGTAATATTTATGATATTGTGATATTAATGCAGCATTCTAGCTGAATCCTTGCTAATCTCTCCTGACTCTAAACCTTCTCATGTTTCTAACGAATATTTTCCTCAACATTTTATTGGTATACCCTAAAATCTAAATTTAGGACCAGATGGAAATGTGTGGACATCTCAGTTATTAACCAGATGCTCCTTCACTCTACCTTCTCGGATCTCTGTAGGGGAGCTATCTTAACATTTTAAGCCTCAGGCTCCTCCAGGCAGCACAAGGAGGACATCTCTTCACCCCAGGGGTAAAGCCTGCAGCTGAAAGCATCCCACCCACACCCACCCTCACCTCCACAGCTGTGAAGAGTGGGCAGCCCCTGGGGGTGTTGGAAGAGATGCAAGAAGGCAGTGGCTCAGAATAGGCCACCCCCTTTCAGGCACCCAGAGGTCAAGGTTCTATTCTACAGTCTCCAGAATTTCCAGACTCCATTCAACCCTTCAGGTCCTGGTCTGGGCAGCGGGCTGACTGACTCAGCCTTATAGTAAAGGAAAAGGAGAGTTAGAAATTCAGACTGAGTCAGGTGGAGGATGGGAAGATCCAGACACGCACTCTTCTCCCAGGGAGCCTGGGCTGGCCCCCTAGGCTCTACAGAGTAGAACACTGAGGATATCTGAAATGACTCTGCCTCCTTCCCAGGCTCCATCCTCACTCTCCCACCTCAAAGACAGGAGCACCTGGAAAAGTCAAACAGGAGAAGGGAGCAAAGGGAACCATTACTGCAGGCCCCACCCTTGGCATCTGAGTGGAGCAAGAGGTGGGCTTTGCCTTTCTAACTTAAACTTTCTCTGATGATGCTGGGATAGAGAAACCTTAAGCCCTATGCCTTCTAATGCACATGGCTGTGTCCCTGTGTTTGAGCAGAGTTCCTATTTCCTGCTCTGTTTGGAGGGGTGAGGACTTTACCTCAGTATTTGAGAGGGGCACTGCCTCCCTGTGTTGAATGGAAAGGGCCTAATAGCTTTCCTGTATTTTTGGGGGTTTTTTTGGTTTTGTTTTGTTTTTTAAATATATCTTTATTGATTTCAGAGAAAGGAAAGAAGAGGGAGAGAGAGAGATAGAAACATTAATGATGAGTCACTGATTGAGCCTGCAACCCAGGCATGTGCCCTGACCAGGAATCGAACCCCGATCTCCTGGATCCTAGGTGGACGCTCAACAGCTGAGCCACGCCCATCCAGGCTCCTGTATTTTTGGAGCATCTTTCCCAGCCTCTTTTGTGCTCCGGTGATTAACTTAATAAACATGGTTGAGTAAAACAACAACAAAAACAGGTGTTCCTTCAAATTAATGTTCTTTAAATATATGTTCACCACTAATTTAGAAAACTTGAGCAGGGCATGAAAAATATCTAGAGATGGTAGGCCTCAATCTTTCTTTCATGGTTCTGAGTATTATACTGTATTCAAATAAAAACCCTGCAGTGAACTAGATCCATCTTCCTTGGATACAATTTGCCTATCTTTTGCACTTCAACTTGACCCTGGAGGAGGGAGTCCCACTCTACCTCGAGGAGCTTTCCAGAGCACTCCTTCCAAAGATATAAAGTACACTGCCTGAAAGAAGACCTAAAAAATATAATTGTGCCTCTCTATCTTTCCAGTAATGTTTCAATGCCAATTACAGACTGCACCCAAGGCATCTCGCTCTGTATTCTGGCTTTGCTTACTACTGTCTGTTTGTAACATCAAATTTAATTTGGAAGGCAGTAACAGCCTGATTTCTAGTCTTCCTCCTAACGTCATCTGTATGACTTTAGCCATATCACTTCTAACATTTCTGAGACTTACTAACTCATCTATAAGATGTAGGCAATAATAAATACCTATCAATTTCACGAGAGTGTTCTATTTGAAAGACTTACTTGGAAATAGGGGGTGGGTTAGGATGAAGGGGACTGGCAGAGAAGAGAGGAAAACGGACAAGAAATAGACACTTGTGTTTCACTCTTTATGACAATACTTAGTACCATGATCCTAAAACTTGTGGAATAAAAGCTTAAAGATGAGAAATTCTATACACCAACTTCATTATTTCTGTGAACCAGAAAAGACTGCCAAGAGTTGAGCAGCAGACCACGTCACTATCACGTGTTCAGTGGGAGCACAGTCTGAGGACCAAAGACTTACCAAATACCACATTTAATATCTTGTGGGAACAAAATAAATCCTAATGAAATCAATGTTTAAGACAAGACAGAAAAAATCTTGCAAATGCAGCAGCTTGGCTGTTGAGGGATAATACTAAGATAGGGAACTGTTCCTTAGATCCATCCTGAGGATGTATGGGAGTTCCTGCTGCAGAAGAAAACGCCATCAACTCTGAGACAGGAGGTACTCAAACAGCCTTAAAAGGTAAGCTATTGTACCTGCTGTGGCCACAAAGCAAGTGCATAAGTGGCTCCTTTCTCCTATAAACTCAATTCTCTAGTTGCTCCAGATACTCATTTCCACCCCATTGTGACACTCTTCACCCCCTTCTTTCAACCCTCTTTGATTAATTTTACCTGTATTTGCAAGAATAACAAGGGAAAGAAGCAGCCTGTGAAATGATATTTTGCAAGTCCATAAAATCCTATGAACAGATTGAACTGCATGTTATTTCAAGTAGGAAAAACCAACAGGTGGTTCTCAATTCAAGAAAGTAAAAAAAAAGGACTCCAATTAATGATGTAGGTCTTGGGTTTCATAAGGACAGGATAAAGGATGACACAGCTTAGAAGAAACCTTTCCATGCAATTGACTGTTTAGCATGCTTTTTAGTAACTATTCATTCACCCTCTTTCCTAGTCATTCTCCTGACAACTAGTCATCTTCTAAAACTGTTCTTGTATCTTTCCTGCTTCTTTTTCCCTCATGCATCCTCCCATTTATTTTATACACATATTTTAAATGTGTATTATAAATGCACACCAGTATTTCTGATCTTATTTCTGGATCATAAGTACCAAGTCCCAATTAAAAAAGATCTGGTGATAGGAAATCAATAAATTCAATAAATAGCTATTACTATTTTTACAATGGATGAATGTTAAGACAGTCACAGACATGTAAAAACACTAGAAAGAATAACAGTAAATAACACTGGGGCGGGGGGGAGGTGGGGAGGATGACAAAGGTGGGAAGGATGATTCTTCTTTATTTGGACCTAAACATGGGAGTTTACCAGGAAAAGAGAAGCAGAGAAGTGCCCCCCGGGCAGAGAGAACTGCCTGACAACGGGAAGGAAAGTATAACCTGATTGGAAATGAACACAATAGCTTCAGTGCAGAGATTCAATGTGAAGGGCGAGAGTTATCATGGGCGTTTTTCAGCGGCACCAGGTCCTAATCTTCGCAAAGCCCCGCGAGGTGGGTGTTCGATCCCCATCTGACAGACAGGGAGCCGAGGCTCAGCAAGGTAAACAACCTGCCGGCAGGTGCGAGGCGGCGGAGCCAGGGGCCCAACCCCGGTTACCGCCGGCTCCAAAGATGATGCTCTTGGAAAAGACCGCAGTGCACAGCGAAGGCTCTCAGACGGCAGGCCACCGACTTGGTCATTTATTAAGGAAATAAAGGGGGGAAACACGAAAGGTTTAAAGACCTGACAGGTCACATTTTGTGTTTTCAAAAGTGGTCCTAGCGTGCAGATTTGCAGACTAAGAAGGGGAAGGCCGAGAAAACAGATGCAAAAGAACTAAAAGATACCGGGCAACATAAGCTCTTTTTCTAACGTAACTCTATTTAACTCTATTCGCAACCCGGCTCGCACCGCCCGGGAGTGCAGACCCGGAGGGCCCAGACCGCGCTGGGCCAGACGCCCCGCCTCCACCGCACCCAGGCCTAGGCTGAGAGCACCGCAGGCGCAGAGCACCGCAGCCCGGCCTCCCCGCGGCCCGGGCCTCGCTTCCTCACCTGGGCTGAGATCCAGCGGGCACCAGGGCTGCAGGCCGCTCCCGAGGCCCGGCAGCGCCACCATGACTGCCAGCAGCCCGCTCGCCGGCGCTGCGGTCAACTTTCAAAGCTCGCTCCCGCGCGCGCTCGGAGTCGTTCCCGCGGGCCAGTCACAACACGCGGAGCTTCCCACCGACCAATCACCGCGCCCAGCAGGGTGCCTCACATGAACCAATCAGCTCGGTCTTCTACCGCACGCGCAAAGGAAGAGGCGGGCCAAGGGCTGCGGACTCAGCCAAGGTTCCAGGGCGAGGTTTTTTTTTTTGTTTTCCCTTTGAAATAGGGGTTAAGGGATAAGTAAAATTCGAATAGCGCTTTCCCCGCCTCGTTTTTCTTAAATGGAGGGCACCTTGAATAGAATTTGAGACATGATACTTCCTGCAATAATTGTCACCTTTGCCCCCGTCAAGTGACACTTCGCGTGTCAAAGGGCTTCTGCCCCGCCGACAGCAATGGAACGCTGTACCTGCCCAGAGGTGGACGTAGACTAACGTTTATGGGACTAAAACAATAGAGGGAAAGCAGGAACACAAAGCATTGCGAAGGGGCGTCTGCAGTTCTCTTAACTTCACGGGATGTGTGGGCCCGAATGCTGGCAGGAGGCCGCAGCTACCATGTCAACTACCGGAAGACGCGCGGCCTTCCCCGGTGCACATGCGCAGTGAGCGCACCTCCCGGCTGCTCGGCGCAAAAGCTGCTGAGCAGAGGCGTGCGCCTGCGCGCGGCAGATCCGGGGCCTCGGGGCTGCAGG